CTTTACAATATAAGGGTGGGGGGTATAGGACTATCAAACTTGATCAACCAGCATGGATTGATGGGGGGTGGGCTATGAGTAGCCAAGAGGAGAAGAGATGAGTTTTGAAAAGGGACTGGAATACTGTGAGGGTCTCAGAATAATTGAAAAATTAAATATAAAATATTTCTAATGTGAACCAAAATATAATACTAAATATTATACAAGTGATTTTTCTTAACCAAAATGACAAAAATGGCATAAAAACACATATTATTCTAATACGGGTCCTTTTAGACCCACTTATGGAATAGTGTAGGGTCCAGTCACTCGTGCATCGTAAATAAATGTAAATATGCTGCATGTTATTGAATTATAATATCCAAAGAAACACTTTACTTAATCTAGTAAGTGAGTATCTGTATCACAAGGGAAAGCCAATTAATTGTATATATTATTTATTACATGATGGCAGTTTCAGTTAACATAAAGACACCGGGCAACTATAGTGCAATCGAACATTAATTTATTAGAGATTTTAGAATGAAAAATGCAGGGCCTATACTAAAAAGGTGACCAAAAACAATAATATATTTTTTAATGATGTGTGTGTGAACTTACTTTCTCAATAGGCCTTTCTCTCAGGTGTACACAAGTAATGGTTACATTCTATTTAGCTGCTTTTATAAGTTACACCTGTGCTATTTTTTAAATGTCAGAATATGTGCTTTGAGAAAGGCCTTTCACATAAATAATAAGAATGTCGTTTTTTGACGGCATCAGGTGAAATCACAGCATAGATAATAACAAGCTACTATAGTTTTACTTTGTGGTATACTTTGTAAGAAAAGGTAGTTTATTAGTGTATGAATAAATAACCAGATATTTTATTTGCATCTATTTTACTGTAATAATGGATGTTGGCCTACTGTCTATGTGTATCATGAAGGGGCTTTTACTTCATTTAATTGTGCCACCCTAGGCCTAGGCTCTGTTGTATATTGGAATAAAATTAACCTTAAACAACCTAAGATAGTCCCCATATCGACTGCTGTGAAACCCTCTTTTTTTAAATGACAACTATGACAATATATAAAATCATTTGTATGCTTGTTAAGGGATAACAGATATATGAATACTAATCAACTACAATACACTATGAAATATTAGGCTCTAGCATAACGCAGACAAACAAACTTGACTTCCTGGTCAAACTCATGAAACTGCGCCACAGATCAACTTGTCGTGGTAAATTCTGCCTAGTGATACGTCGTCTCGATTATTCTATTGGTGGACGAGTTCTGCTTTTTTATATTTTCAACGAGGTACGCCGAAGCCATGGCCGAAGCTGGTTTTGTGGGCGGAGTCAGAGCCTCCCCACCATTTGACTTAGTAATAACTCTCGAGACGACGAACACACACATTTTTACTTTCGATTTTGACTCGAGAGGGGTTCTTATTTTGGACAAATATACAATAACTCTTCAGTGGCCTCCTGAAACCAACTGAAGGTGAAATCATGAAGATATGTCTCGCAGTTCTCGTCGGGCTGCTGTCTGTCCTCCCTTCAAAAGCGAAAGATGGTAAGTTTAAGATACGGTAGGATACTTGTTTATGTACCGATGGCCTATAAATGGCGCCGTGTTATTTCACGGAAATAGCAGAAGGACATCGGCTCTCACAATATATTACATGTAACTGCTTTGTTTACTTCCTACTTCATTTACTTTAATGATAAAAAAGAGCCAACGGAAAAGCTCCCATACATGTACGTTAAGTAACAACTTTGAGAAGTGCAGTATATCAGAGTAATTGGGTTTAAGGGTCAGGATAATCTTTTCGAAGGCACTCCTACCAGGTAATGTTAAATGATTAATAGTGACTAGACGACTAAACAAAGCCTACCACACCAAAACATGGTTTCAAACTAATGAAATCATAATTGATTATACTACAGCACATCATTTGAATGTAATACTATTGCGAAGGGGGCAGAAACTTGAATGTATTGAATAGACCTTGAAATATTAATTAATCTTTGGCAGCTTTGTCTTTCTTTTTTTTCTCCTGCACTGACAAATTGACATTTGACTAATTAAATGTAATTTGTCAACAGATCCACCTAACTGTATTAGGTTAGTTGAAAGCAACTTTATAACTTAATAACATTGCTTTCAACTAACCTAATATAGTTATGTGACATTTGTTGACATAATCAGTTAATTAAAGTCAACGTTTCAGTTTTTTCAGTGTGAAATATGTGTGAACGTTTTTCTGTTCTTTGGTAGCTGCAGCTGACGTGCAGGTGTACAGCAGAGCACCAGGGATAATTGGGAAACCCAACACCCTCATCTGTCATGTGAAGGGCTTCTACCCACCAGAAATCTCCATTCAAGTGCTCAAGAATGGAAAAGACATCCCCGGAGCCAAACAGACTGACCTGGCCTTCGAGGCGAACTGGCACTACCACCTAACCAAGCACGTGCCTTTCACCCCATCACAAGACGACAAGTACACCTGTCTTGTGAATCATCTCGGATCCTCAAGGGAATTCACCTGGGGTAAGTCTCTATACACTTCCATTTATTACAGTATTACGTTTACAGAGTGGGTACAATCATTTTAAAGAAAAAAGACAATTACTGATTCACACATTAGCAACTACATAACTATACTAGGGAGTTTACTATAATAAAAGACAAACAAAATACGTTTTATGTAAAACAATAAAAAAGGCCTATTTATGTATATATATTGAATATAATTTAAGGCAATGATGGCTCATATGAGCAGAAATTGAGTAAATAGAAAAAAATATATACAGAAATTAATTAAATATATTTTTTTTGTTTGATTTCATGCAATAGGTCCATGTTTATTACTTTTTGTTCAATGAATTACAGCATAGCGCAACATTTATGTGAGCCACAACCACTTAAAACCAGAATCACATTATTGAACATTAGTTGAAATGTACAGTTGAAATTAATACATTAATAATATATTTATGTTTTTGTTGTTTTTAAAGCCTTTTATACAGTAAGGATTAGCCTAACACTTGCCCTTTTTTAAATAAACATTGACAAAAGAAATGTAAGACTTACAGAAATACATTGTGTAGTGGATATTGTAACACTAGGTTTTAGTTTAAAATATATGTACTTAGTAACTGGAAGAAAATAAACATTTAAATCACCTTAAAAGTAGAAAATAAACTGCAGAATTACCTGAAAAAAATCTGGTCCTATGACGTAGTGGTTTAAGTCGTAACATAAAATCGCAATGCTCTTCGCCCCACATTTCCTGTTTCTCAACAATGTCATTTACTGTCATGGATCATTTTAATCGTCATTTTACAACACAGTGTTGCACAATAAAATGATAGCCATAGCCTCTTCTTGCTGCAGTCATACACTACATACATACCATTTTAAAAATTAGAATAGAATTAAAATAAAAGCAAAATTATAAAAAATAATAAACATCAGTTTTACTTTCTGTGTTGCTATTACTGTTACCAACCATGCTCTAAGATCCATAACTTGACAATAAATAAAACAATTTAGGAATATAAACGACTATATCAGTTTTCTGGATGAGATGTCACAAGTACAGAATTTGTCAGCTGTTTCAGAAATAGAGCAGTTCAAATGTTGATTTTGTTCTCAACATGTTTTTTATTCTCTCTACAGTATCAGATATGTAAGCGCCACCTTGCTCCAGGTTTGTACCTTATTGATTCTCAGTGTTTCAAAATTCTAATTTTTTAACTTAATAAACAAGTCATTTGTGCAGTTGATGTCAGAGTGACACTGTTTCTATCCTTTGTTTAATAACCACAGGTCTGCTCAGTCCAAGCGACGTGAAGAAGATTGGAATGATTCGTCTATGATCTTGGATTTCATCATCTAATGAGAGAAAATATTGTGCCTGCAATCAACTGTGTTTTTTTTAATCAGAAATACAACATGGCAATGAAGCTCCTTTTAACTAAATGTTGATTTATCAGGGAGCAGCTAGCCCCGTCAGTTCATGGATAGTATGTAAGGGATAATATGCAGCGAGCCTACATTAAAGTGAAAAGGAACACCGCTAAATGACCGGCTCGCTGCATATTATCCTTCTTATTACATGGCTACATATTCAATCAATAATTTGACATAACATATTGATTTAAACATAACTTTATGTGATTAGCAACATAACTTAAAATGACTGCAGCACTTGTCAAGGTTTTTCTGCCTTGTAACAGTTCAGGCCTGGTAACATTTTCTTCTTCAGAGCATCCTTAGCAATGGTCTGTTATATAGAAAGAGAAGACTGAACATCCAAATTGACCAATCGGAATTAAGTATTTTACTAAGCTGTGCAGTAAGAATAAATAAGGTAAAGGGGACGTGATCACAGAGGAAACTATTTACACTGATGATTATACATGCACATGCCTTCCTGTGTGTGTTTAATGCTTGATATGTAAGGGCTTAAAAAGACTCTTATCTAATTCATTATCTTGTGCACTTTTTATATTGTGAGGTATAAGTAGGGATTAATGCTTCTTGAGTTTACGACAGCGTGTGTTTTTACTATAAGTACAACTCAACACATAAGCCTATTATTTTCCATGTTCGTGTGCCTCTGTGAATGGGTATTATACAGTATGGTTGGTTAATAAAAATTGTCATGATACTTAATTCATCGAGTTCTGTAATCATTTGCCAGTATTAATGACACACAATCTCTTCCTATAATACAATTTAATTTGTCAATTATGGAGGACAAATCCATAACCGACATTAAACTAAAGCGAAAATACACAGAGAAATGCTTTTGTGCCTTTTTTATTTCGGACATAATATACATATTAGGTCCTGTTTTTGCATGTGTATTTAAACTTACATTATAACAACAAAGTAAAACTCCCCTAGAGGCCGAATTAAGTATGTTTTCTTAAAAAAAACACCAGGAAACTACAGGTTTCCGCTTTGTTACAACCACATAGGCTACTATGCACGTGAGTGTTTAGTTATGTTCTTAAAATATTGCAAATATATAAATAAACCAATAATAGAATAGCCTAAAGTTTGTTGTAAACAATGCTAATGGCAGTTTATGGCGAAATGTCTACTATAAGAAGGAACAACAATTTGACGCAGCATTTAACATTGTCTTTGATGTTGAAATGGTGTATCCTTCCGACAATGCTCACTCGTAAATTGGTGCAACACTGTGCTTGAATCGGGTTTCTTTTCTAAATAGTTTTGTTTTGAGTCTGCCTACTCCTTTAGTTGTCTGCGTAACGGGGCGGAGGGAATTTCCGTATTTGAGCAACCACAGTGAAGCCTCGCAGTGTGTCAGTGTCTCCTGTCTGTGCGGCTTTTCACATGGACCCCTCCACCTTCCTTTACGATGTCCCCCCGGCTATCATCGAAAGGTTCTGTAGAATCATGGACAGCGGAGATGACAGGTTCGGGTGGCGTGTACTAGGTGAGGAACTACTTTTTCATGGTTAAAGATTTTTAGATACAAGTCTACCGCAGCCTCTAAGATAACAATTAACTCGTTGCTTTTTGTAATTAACAGGAAACTTTCTCTGGATGTAACTTTTTATACTGTTGGATATGCAATGTCTATCACAAAAATACAGGGGTTTAAGATGTACTCTTATCTTGAACTTAAGTTCAAGAAGTACCAGAGTGTAATACTCTTACAAGGAAAAGCATTGCATTGCAAATGTTCAAGGCTTCTCAAGTAAAAGTACAAAGGTATTAGCTTCAAACTGTACTAAAGTAGCTCAAGTAAAAGTACTCATTATGTAGATTGATCCATTTTAGAATAATATAAATGATATGTTTTAATTATAATTAATAACTTTAATTAATTATAGCTGGTAAATGTGGAGCAACAGTACAAAGTAGCAACAAATTGAAATACATGTAAAGTACATGTATCTCAAAATGGTACTCGGGTAAATGTACTTAGTTACTTCACACGCCACTGCAAATATATGATCAATAAGAAATACAACAATCTATTTTGTTGAACAATGTTGACAAAGCAGCCGTTGTTTTTGTATTCTTTAAATAATAATGAGGAAGTTCAGAAATGCTCGCATTTGGTTGTTTTTCAATATTATTATACAATACTAAGAATTGTGTAATATGTAAAGATAAGAGGTGAATGAACCTGTATTCATATTTGTTATAAACACAGTATTCCTCTGTGAGCTTGATTTGATATATTGTATGCCCATCCTCTTTGTGGGTCCCCAGCTGTCCAAATTGTCCCCAGCTTGTTAGACGTCCGCATGTTGGAGCGAGGGGAGTTGGCGGGTCGGAGCCCCACCAGAGAGCTGCTGTGGTCCTGGGCTCAGGAGAATTCACGAGTGCAGGACCTTCTCAACCTGCTCAAAGACATGGGACACCTCAGGGCCCTGCAGCTCTTCACAAGTCAAGCTCAAGGTCAGTTACAAACAATTAAAGGCAAAGGTTATTTACTTACATATCTGCTTATAGCACATTAAGAAAATGCTGGTACTCAATTGAGCAGATTGTGTTTGCAATAGAAGTCTTGACAGAATTAACCGAGAGAGAGAGATGGAGCACACCTTGGACACTCATGTGCATGGGAAACAAAAACAAACAGGGTTGAGATGCAGTGGTTTTAAAATAGTTTACAGTATGGCCATCAGGACAAACATAAACTATAAGTGCTACACATTTAGACTTGAGGAAAAAAAACTAAAACTTGGTGAAAAAATTAACTTAGCGTAGGTGATTATAAGGGTTCAAGGTTCAAGGTTCTTTATTGTCAAACTGACATAGTTACAGAGTAATTATGTTGTTGAAAATCTTATGTCACAGGCTTCTCCAACAATGCAACATAATAACAATACAGATAGCAAGAGCAATACAAAAAGAAATATAGTTATAAAATAAAGTGAGCATGTGGAATAGTGCAGTACGAGTCTATATACAAGTTATTGGAATGATATATATTAGATATTAGATACATATTACTGAGTAGCAGATGAATGTTTTGAAGTTGTTTCAGCAGTTCAATTGTTTAACAGTCTCACTGCCCGCGGGAAGCAACTGTCTCCGAATCTTCTTGTCTTTGCCAGGATGCTGCGGTAACGTCTGCCAGACGGCAACAGAAAGAACAGTTTGTGGCTGGGGTGATGGGGGTCTTTGATAATCCGTAGTGTTTTCTTCCTGAGCCGCTGGGAGTAAATGGGGCTATTCTAGGAAAAGGTCTTTTCACCCTCTGTCTTTTCACCCTCTGTCTGAAACCAGAGCCCAGTCTGCTCTGATTGGATAGCTGGCCAGCTCTGATGTGATTGATCAACCGCTTAGAGATATCCCACCCCTCAGCCTATCACGTACCAGGTGTTGGAGCACTAGCCAATAGAAGTGCAAGTGTTACAAAGCGATGTCACTATGTTATGGAAGGAAACAAAGGAGTCAGGTGTTTCAGGCACTGGGGGAGTGTGAGGGAGAGAAACTCCTTTGCCTTTGGAGACCTTTTTTTACATGCACAAAAACCTATATAACATACCACAGGAAAGGTAAACCCTGAAAAGCTCTATCTGTAGCCTTCTTAACTAGTGCAGGGCCAATGGGGCAGGATACTACGTTACATCATAGGTTTCACTGCTTTATATTTCCAGTAGTTGTTGCAAATATTGTGGTGGCTTTTTTAAGCTTTAATTATTGTCAATGCAAAGATGTGTATTCCTGAGGGGAATGAATCAGTTTTGGAGGGAAGTAACATTGAAAAGGGGAAATTGAAAGCCCTTTCGCAGTTCCTGTTGGTGGTGCATGTATTATATAAGCAAACCATATTGATGCAGTTATCAAGAAATACATATTACATTTCCTATTTGGGCAATATGTCTATTTCAGAGTCGCCTTTGCCCAGCAGCAATCCACAAGCAGATTCCAAAGGGCCGATGTCAGCATCTAAAGATAAGGTAGAATTGTTTGTTCACTTGTTTAAATGTTAAATATAACCTTTTAACATTAAATTGTCTTTCCATAAGCTCCATAAGTTCTATAAGCTGTCATAAATGTACTCTCTTTTAGCCACTTTGTTACCATATACTTTTTAGATCTTGGTTATTTTAAGTGGTATTTGCAGTGTCTTTACATCTTTACATGTTGTGCCTTGAAGCCTTCAGCCTGTATTACCTGTGAGAAATAAGAAAATAAATGACAATTTTTTGTATTTTCTCTTATAAGGGATCCTTCCCACTAGAGGCGACTTTCCAAGACATCATAGAAGTAACCAAACATTTCCATCCTGATATGAGAATTGCAGAGGGCCACTTCTCTGATATCTACAGAGCACACATGGGAGATCAAATGATCGCAGTTAAGCTTTTTAAACAGGTGATTATTGATTCTAACACTCTGACATCTTGGGAGATGTGCTTGCTTGCTGTTCAACCCATTCCGGCTTTCATGCATTCTTTATCAATCTTTCTTCAGGTAAAAATGCAGTCCTGGAAAAACCTCTGGGATGTCTTCAGAAAAGAAATGGAAACTCATCTTTTGTATGTAACAACTCTCAAAATACCTTCCTTTATTTATCTGATAGAGAGTTGTTTATTTTTATGAATTGATGTGTTACAGGTACCAACATCCAAACATCCTAGAATTGTTGTGCTGTGTTTCTAATGAGGACCGCTACTGTGTGCTCTATCCTTACCTCCCTAATGGATCACTCTTCCACAGATTACACCATCAGGTACGGGTTTTACTTATCAACATCTGTTGGCCTACTGCAGTATGTCCACAAGCAAGTGTGTTTCTGTCTGTAACAAAACCAGAGAACAAAAGTTTCTAGGTAACAGTTTCACAATCAAAAGCAGGAAGTGAACATGTATCCCCGGCGCTGTACAATAGTTGCCCAGTTCCTAGTACTAGGATGGGTTAAATGCAGAGGCCAAATGTCACTGTGTGTGTTCTGTGCTCTGCATGTGTGACGATTAAAGAGGGTTTCATCCCTCCCAATTATATTTGTTCCCCTATTCTATCCATGGTTGCATTAAAGGTGGGGTAGGTCATTTTGGAGAAACCAGCTCGAGATCGCTAGAATTTGAAAATACACAGCCGGAAACAAATCTGCCACTTCCTTATAGAGCCCCTCCTCCAACACACACGAATGCGCACATGACCAATGAGGGCACGAGATAAGTTTGTGCACAGATGGAAGGCTGACAGGCAGGTAGGCCATCCAGTTATTTTAGCCGGGCCGGCTAAAAAAATTGGTCGTGCTTTTTACAGTATTACGGCTTCCACAGATGACATTTTTTTATGGATTTCTTGTCAAAGCACTTAATATATTCATTGCTATCGGGATGTTAAGAGCATTCCATGGAATATAACAAAAAGTGTATCTCGAGCCGGTTTCTCAAACTTACCTACCCCACCTTTAAATGGTTATAAACCTTACCTCATACAGATAAAGTCAAAGAACATTTATTGAACAGATTTTAAGATCAGCAGATGGATTAATTAGCATTTTAGCTTTTAAAATCATGTCCCAGACTGCCTAAAAGAGGACTGAGACTCACAGAGTCTCAAACCACAGTTATTGTTAATTTACTTGAAAGCATATTTTTGTTTTATATTTAATATTGTGTATTGTCACTGTTCAGGATGGAGAGCCCCCTCTGTCCTGGCAAGAGCGCCTCAACATCATTAAGGGAACTGCAAAGGCCTTGTATCACCTCCATACAGCCCAGCCCTGCCCGGTGATCTGTGGCAACATCTCCAGGTACACCTCCTGATCACTCAGCGCCTCCACATTCTGGCTGTCCTGTTCTCTTCCGAAAAGCATTGTCTCTGCGATGTGCAACACTCAAACTGAACATTATATAATTTACAGGATGACCAATTGATTCAAGCTTAGAAAGAAACAATCTGAAATGTTATGGCCATAATAGAGTGGTGCAGTGCTGACATATTTTTTTAGATAGACCGAATAGATAGCATTGCAGGGACTTCAACACAAATCCAATGGGTTTTTTCCATTGGATTTTGGTATATTGCAGAAAATAAGATCTGTGGCTAACACACGTTCATGATACTTACATATTTTGTTCAGCAGGATAATCTTCACATATTAACACCCCTTTTATAATAGTTGAAGCCTAAATGCAATTGCCAAAAGTAAATAGCTAACGTTATGCTATAAACAAACTACTGTACATGACAGTCGCATGGCTTCACGTCACCACGCTAGGCTAAAGGCACTCCATGTTCGGCAAATCAATCTTTAGTCACGGTTTTTAAGATGATGTAAAGGCTCCTCGTATGGGTACCTTACCGTCTTATTTTGTGACTTAGAACAATAGGTGAACATCTCCTAAGCTTGTATTAACTACAGATGTTATCTCAGGTATCTAACAAAGTTTACAAAGTGTCCATATGTGTTTTCTGCACAGTGCAAACATACTTTTGGATGACGCCCTGCAGCCCAAGGTGTCTGACTTTGGGTTGGCCCGCCTCCGTCCTAATTCATCCAATCAGCTCTGTACCATCATTCTGGATACGAAGTCCCACAGCAACCTGGCATACCTTTCTGAGGACTACATCCGAGACGGCAAGCTCTCCTCTAGCTTGGATGTTTTCTGCTTTGGGATGGTGATTGTAACTAAATAATATAAGCTCAGCAAAACTTTCTCACCCTGTATGTAAATTAGGATGTCACATAGACATCCTTTGTTGTATCATCATATCTTTGTTGTGACTGTAGTGGACTATGGTTTCTGATAGAAACATTATGATTTATAGCCGTTAATTCTCGTTTGCATGCCTTCAGGTTATAATGGAAACCGTAACAGGAAGGACGGTAAAGGAGGAAGTACCTAAACAAAAACCACTGGTGAGTCACTGAAGGTAGAATAGAAAGTTCATAGAGTTCTTTAGCTCTCAAAATCCAGGTTGATGTCTTTCAATAGTCACTATTTGCAGTATGCAGTAACCTCGTGCTCTCTGTGTCTGCTATGTCAGAGAGAGATGCTGGTAACGGAGGTGGAGGACAGCGGTGGTGTGGACTCTTGTCTACAGTTTTTGGATGTGGCGGCAGGTCGGTGGCCCACTGACATCGCCCTCGGCCTGCTGCGTCTGGCCCTGGACTGCACGGCGAGTCGCCGCAGCAGACCAAGCATGGAGACTGTGAGTAATCAAGGATCAATCTTTGCTTTAGGAATGTTTAAATAACCAAATAGTCTAAGCTCAAAGGGCTACATGCTTACTTTGAGCGCTTTCCACTGTGTTTCATGGTCTTATTCATGCTGCTAGGGTTATTAAATCAGGGTTTGGTCAGATTCATTTATTTAAAAAATTGTTTTAAATAAACTTGGTTTCTCTGTTTATTCTGAAACATTTGGGTATGGAAATTGCCATATTTCAAATATCTAAACTAAAATGTTATCAAGTAATCCCTGACAATGTTACTATAATCTAATTATTAATCTATTATTTTGTGTAATCTGAGTACATAATCCCAACCCATTACTACCCAACCTTCATTTAGGTGAATGTGGATGAGATAAATACTATAAATCTTTACTGTTTTCAGGTTCTTTTGGCATTGAGCAAGCTACTTCCTCCACCTAGCTGCCCCCCTGCGGACCAACCCCACAGCCTGGATGATGGAAACCCCCTTAAAACTGAGATGAGCCTTTTATCCTCCATACCTGTAGAGCACGATGAGCAGCTCAGCCTCCCTGGTTCTCTAACACAGGAAGGGCCCAATGAATACAGCCAGTCGGAGGTGACGTATCTGAGCGACGTGGGGGGGGCTTCTGGTGAGGTGTCGGCTGACCTGTACAGCAGCTGGCCTGTACAGTGCAGCTGCCCTGCTGAGACAGGCGGTCTGCCCTGTGAGGACTGCAGGGCCAATGGCTTCACCCCCAACCACACTGACAGTCCTCAGAGTAAGTTTTGGTAAAATCCCACATTACAGATGACGAATTTGTTAAATTTTTGATAACCAAACCAACATATGATCAAATTTGATTATCTATAATGTTCTCAGAGGGGTAAGTCTGCAATACCACGTGCTTCCTAAAAGGCTTTCATTAGAAGTGGTCGGCAACCTCCTGGTGGAAAAAGTAAGGCCAATAGGGAAGTGCTTTAAACCTGCATTCTTGATATGGCCAGCAGAGAGAGATTCCATTAGTTGCAAATGAAGTTTGATTGAATAGAAGTCTATCAGAAAATTACGCTAAACTCACATTTTTCTGATAACTTTATGTCCTCTACGGCTAGTTGCAAGTATTCGTCATTACAGCTCGATGTTATTTTGTATATTATGGTTCCATTTAGAATAAAATAAACTAAAAATAAGCATTTGGGCGTGGCTACTTTGTTATTGACAAATTACTAGGTCGCTACCACTGCGTTGCTACCACACGTTGTTCAGCCAGCCTAACTATCCAAAATGTTACCACGTGATGAGCCTTGCTCCTCCCCAGCCTACACTCTCGTCCAAATATGGCCACTTCTGGTTCCAAAAGACCAAGATGGCAATGACAAAAATGACATACTCGAGGCCTTGAAAGCCTAGTCCAATAACCAATGGGTGATGTCGAGAGGATTGTGTTTACTTCCTTTATACATACCTTCTATGGGAAATTCCCAAAATACTTTAAAAACAGCCTTGGATAAAAATACATCTATGTATCTATGTATGTATTAAAAGTAATCTGTAGCTTTGTTGTGTGTTTCAGGTAACTCTACTGCAGTGGAAACCCCAGCCAAGGAGAGACTGAGGAACAAACTGAGTCTTTATGACAAGGGGCTGATTCACTCAGAGGAACTGTTCTCTGAAACAGGACTGCAGTAAAGAGAGGACTTCCTTTTACATGTCTGATAGCAGCCTGGCTGCCGCTGTAAAATCGATCATGCCAAGCCAATTCAACACCAGTAGGAACACCATCAACATCATATCTAAAGATTGAGTTATTTGGCTTTTCATTGTAAGTGGATCTCTGGGAGAATGTAGTTAACAGTGGATAGCTGACCTTCTAATTGACAGCCAGTTCAATTCTGTAGTCAGAACCCTTTATCGTGAGTGATATCTGCAATAAACGACGACATGATACTTGTATTATAAAAAATAATAATTTATTATGTTTTTTTTGTCATTGAATAAGTTTGAAATCTTATGGAAAAACATAGACCTAATCAGCTATCATTGCAATAGAAGTGAGGAAAATGTTGCATTAGGAATTTGAGAAATTAATAAGTCAATGTGATGGGACGTGAAATAAACAGTGTAACAAAACACATTTTAATGTATGCAAGTGATTGTTGTCAAAAGAAACAATTAGAGCATTTTTTACCACCCATTTACATAAACGTATGAACGTGAACCTCCTGTTTAGATATTCAATTGAACTTTTCGTCAGATAGCTTCTTTTCATATACTGCATTTTGTATGACACTTGAAACGTTTTTGGGAACATCTGATGGGCAGTATTTTATGAAACTCTATCTACCATGCTGCTATTGCTGTGGCTGCTATTACTCAGGTACATATCAGCACAAAAAGATGTATGCCTCCTCTATTATTGTTAACATACAAATGAAGTCATTTGGTAGCACAAATTAGTAAATCATGCACTTAAATTAGATTTTTCTGATATTTTGGAAAGGAGCAGAAGAAACAAATGATATTCATTCCGTACTGTGAGCATGCAGCAGTGCTTTCTCCTGGATGAGGCTGACAAACTCGTGTTTCTCCAGACAGCCTCGACACTCTTCTCCCCACGAAGCTAAAATGTTCCTCAGCTCCAAGACTTTCATTATTTTCAGCCCGTCGCTGCTCAGATCCTTCACTTGAGGGTCTGCTGACACAGAAACATGCTTTATATTGTGCCAACACACAAGTGAATGGTAAGTGTTTGTTATGCATTTGATAACACTTTACCATATCTGAGCTCACAGATCTGCATGTCTGTGCTGCTGAGGCGCTGGCAGATCTTCTCAACGGGGACGTGAGAGGCCAGAGGTCGAGACACCGATGCTGTGACACGGGTTGCTGCATCAATAGTGGCTCCTAGATAGTAACACTGGGACACGACAGCACATAAACACACGTTTGATCACCCTCAGAAATAGGTTTATATTGGTCAATTCTCACATGGGAGTCTGCGCATGTGTGTGTTCTCACCAGCCTCGCCTCCTTGCCCTGGGCGACAGTGCAGGCCTGGATCAGCTCTTCCTCCACCAGGGGAGGAGTGAGTTCTCTGTGGGCCGACGTCAGACTGCCATACAGTCTGGAAAGAAAGTCCACACACACTGCACACCAGTTCATTGTTATTAGGGGGTGAGCGTGCTGCTAATCAATTCTGATTATTTGTGGACAAAAAAACATTTAGCTCTATATTTATACTTATGTACTGTATATTGGAACTAATGTATTGTGAGTGTTTCAATTAAGGGGAAACACTACAGACAAACTGCATGTTTGTTTTTTATATACCGGTACATTTATGAGAGTTTGAGAGATTGGTGCTTCCATATCTAGTCTACTTTCAGACTAGGGGGAAATAAATAATCCAAAATACACATTCAGGTGTTTATTTTACTAACTTTGACGATGTGTGTCTGTACATAGCTGCTATTTTTATATTGATAGTGATATACAAAAAGATATTCAAAATCCCACTGCCATTTCATTCCCCACATAAACATAACAGTCTGCAATGAGAAAGTATCTCGTGCGAATGAAAAAGTATATATTTTTGTATTGCCCAATCTGTCCAGACATGCATGGCAGATATAGCCTACAGGGAGATGTTGACGTCTCAAAAAAGAACCTGTTGGTGATACCAGCACAGTGTAATATTGGTTAACCGTAGTCACACAACTTCTGCTCACACCATGCTGTCTAACCTTCACAGTTGCCTGCCGCAGAAAAAGTAAAACCTGTAAAAAACAGCAGACAGACGAAGGGCAGCACCGCCATGACAGCGTTTGAGTTATTATTAGCTTCATGGCGTCCCAGTCAACAGTCCTCTGTCGGCTGAACTGCCGCACCAGAGAAACCGGGACATGACGTCATCACATTGTCTTAAACTGGACTAAAATATGATATTTACAGATAATACCAACAGTAAAACTTCCTATAAACTGAAAAATAGTCCTATAATAATGCATGCTACGGTTGCTACCTCAAGAGCCATTAAACCGTACTTAGCCATGTATATTTCTAGAATTTGGGCACACAATAGGCTACTTGATATGCATTGCCCTCAGAGACATTACAAAAGAAACAAACAGTTTAATTTATAAGCTAGTTATTACCTATATTTAAATTGTTTATGGGTTTTAAACTTCTTCTTAAAGTTATACGCTTTTGTTTTGAAAAGGTTCTGCCGGAAGTGGTTCCTTTGTAAGCGGAACACGAGCCGCATACGCGTGTTGCACATCTTCCAACATGGCTGCCATTGGAGTTCATTTCGGATATACCTGCGCTTGTGTTGCGATATTTAAGGTGAGTTACGCTCAGTTTAGCATTACCGACCTCTCCCACGCTGTCCTTCCTTCTCTGGTTCACAAAATAGTGACAAACTTCATCACAACTCTACATTTCAACTGAAATAGCACTGGTTGTTAACATGCTAACACTTTACATACACACGCGATGAATGAAGTCATTCCATGCCTGATAAAGTTAGTCTAAAAAACACAGTTTTAGACATCTGGGAGAATATCCAAAGTCCTTAAATAGTTGTTCCCTCAATAGTAAAACTGAAAAGGCCTTCCTTAAATATAGTCACGGTCCTGGTACCCCTCCAGTACCCGCCCCAAGGCCTCCATAAAGACACATTTAGTTGTATGTACTGTATAATGGGGGGAAGATACATTTTCTTAAGGTCCATTTATAGTCTTTTACCTAAAAATACATTTTTGAGACACTGATGAGCGTGTGTTTCTTAGGATGGGCGTGCTGATGTGGTGGCTAATGATGCAGGAGACAGAGTGACTCCAGCTGTGGTGGGCTACAGAGAGACTGAGCAGGTAAAACATACATTATCTTCAATTTACGTCACTTATACAATTCATAGTGTTTATGTAATCATTGTTGAACTGTTGTGCTCTTTTCAGTATGGCTGTCCTCGACTAAAGAAATAATTACACATTACCAGATTATTATTACAGTGTGGATTGTAGGTCCTACACATTTTGACTTAAGTCGTCATCTTATTGCTCTGTTTTTATCTTCTGCAGATTGTAGGCATTGCAGCAAAGCAAGGACGGGTACGCAACGCTGCCAACACAGTTGTCAAAGTGAAACAAGTGCTGGGCAGAAGGTGACATTCTTATTGTGTCTTGTTTGCAAATATTACAACTACAAGAAGCACATGAGTAGACAGTTCTAGCTTTGAAAACTTGTAGAATATATAAAACAAACAATAACATATTCTCTTTCCCTGCCCCTTAATGGACAGCTTTGATGATCCAGAGACGCAAACTCACAAAACAGAGAACAAGTGTCAGGTGAGTTTGTTAACATATCCACCTAATGTTGTGTATGTAGATGTTTTTTCAAAACTTCTGAAAGGATTCCTTTTAAAACAAAGATGTTCTGCCCTTTATTAACATTCCTTTATTCAGTGCTGTTCATATTGTATCCTTAAATCTTCAGCCAAGTGCATGCTGGCTGGTTTTGTCTCTTTGTTTTACTTTTATAAAACATGTTTGGAGCCCACAAAGACTGACAGTCCAAGTAAAGCAGTGATTTCTTTGTTCAGCTGGTCAACAGACAAGACAAGCTTCATTATGAGATCACAGCAGGAGATCGCCCAGTTTATGTGGTTCCACATGATGTCGCAAAACTCATCCTTCATAAAATGAAAGGTATTTTGTCGCAAACACACAGACACATGGCTCAAAGAGAAACAATAAGCTGTTTAATCATTCCTTCTTCTTCTTGTTCTTCACAGAAACGGCTCAGTCAGCTCTGGGCTCTGATGTCAACGAGGCGGTCATTACCGTGCCCTTCGAGTTTGCACATGCTCAGAAGCGTGCTTTGAGGTAGGCCAAAGGACATTTTACTACAACTGTACTGTTTAGTTGTGAGGAACCCTTTTAATAAAGACCACCACTGTGTTTGCTGTGTGCAGGGAGGCTGCTGAAGCTGCTGGGTTTCATGTTCTGAGGCTAATCCACGAGCCTGCTGCTGCTCTGTTGGCATATAACATTGGACAGGACTGTTCTGCTGGAAAGAGGTAGAGGACTTAATGGACTCTTTATGAACATAATGTATCCTTTCCAGTCGATTTGCCCTCACATTGTTCTGCACTGTGTTCACAGCCATGTCCTGGTGTATAAGCTGGGTGGGACGTCTCTGAGTGTGACAGTGCTGGAAGTCAACGGAGGAATGTTCCGGGTTCTGGACACCCTCACTGACCACAGCATCGGAGGAGAAAAGATCACTGAGGTTTTGGCTCAGCACCTGGCAGCCGAATTTAAACGGTAGCTACTGTGATTTCTGCTGCTCCTACTCTGTAACTTACTGTTCTCTAACATGCATTACACATTTATATAGGGCTGCAACTAACAATCATTATTGTTGATTATTGTGTACTGATTCCAACTTAACTTGTGTTTTCATCAGATAATATCATATGAGAAATAGGTATGACTAAAATGACCAAATTATAGGTTTAGCAAGAGTATTGACTGAATTATTTAATATCATATGATCAATAAACACAACCTTTGACACATGATTAAGACCAAGACTAAATGGCAAAATTAGAAGAGAAAACATTGGCTTGAATTGATACTAAAAATAGTGAGCATTTTTGTCTAAAGAGTAAGATTAAGTCTAAATGCTGCCAAAGGAACATTGACCAACTGATGGTTTAGTCTGCGCATCGTTGCAGCTTTACATTTGTCATACTCTGCAAAGGCATCATTTTACACTGAGTTGCCGGTTTACCTGGTACAGCTGGGTAAAGCTTAAGGCCGCTACACACCCACCTGAGACCAAAGAACGCGTACCGAAGGCATCCCGACTTTTACGTCGCCTACGCCGCCCGCCTACACCGCCCGCCTACGAACACGCCGCAAATATTTCAGTCGACGAGTGGCAATAACTGTCCTTACCAGCAGGCAGCGGTAGTGTGAACAGCCAATCAGAGTGATTGCTTGGGCCGACTTTCTCTGACCTCCCGCGGCCGATTCAACATGTTGAATCGGCCGCGGGAGGTGTGAAAAGGTGCCGTAAAGAGACGACGGTGCGGGACACACCAACCTGAGTAGGGCGCCGCGAATGCCCGACTCCCTCTGACGGCCTCTGACTCCCAAAATCGGGTTGGTGTGTAGCCAGCTTAAAGCCGTCTCATACAACAGCCCTCTAATCAATCCTGCCTGGGTGTTGATTTAACTTTATGACCTAAGATCTGGTTTTGTCCCATATATATGCCTTGTTTATTTTTGACTCTTGGTGTTCTTTGTCTGTTGTGCAGCACCTTCAAGCACGATCTGAGCAACAATACTCGGGCGATGATGAAGCTGATGATTGGAGCAGACATGGCCAAGCACAATCTCTCCTCACTGAGCACAGCCAACTGCTTTGTGGACTCCCTGCACGACGGCATCGACTTTGAATGCAACATCTCGCGGTAAGCTGGGAACACAAAGCTGGTCGTAACATCTTACAACACATCATCATGCTGATGACAAAGACACCAAGGATAAAACACAAAACCTTACAGCAACCAAAGAGCCTGCAGATTTAGAGTGTACAATGAAGAATAATACAAAAATTGACATTTTACATAAAATGCCAGCCTTTTCTAAAACATCTTTTGTCATTGTAAAGTTTCTGTTTACATTTAAATGTTTTATGGTGGCCTTTTTTAAAGGACAAAACAAATACAAGATTGAGAGCACAGACATTGTGATCTGCTCGGAAAGAAATGTACTTACTGCTGCATATACACGTCTGAACATGAAGGCACCATGGCCTGCTGCATCTGAATCAATGTACCAGAAACAACTGATTGGTTAAAACATGAATCATGATATTTTCCTTCACGAGCAGATTTAGAGTTTAGCCAGATTTATTATAAGTGATACGTGTCAAAGGGAAATATGTGGACAAAGTCAGGGTGGATAAAAAGTCGTAACCAAGACGATAACCTCATTGTGGTGTTTTCTCAGAGCTCGATTTGAGCTGCTCTGCGCGTCACTCTTCAACAAGAGCATCCAGCCAATCAAAGCCCTGATGGAGAAGGTGGGACTCTCCAACAGCGACATTAACCAGGTACAGTGTGAGGGGAAGTCATTTGGGTTTTCATTGAGGAGCTGTGGTTTAAAAATCATCAAACTGCATCCGAGTGGAGCAGGAAAGAGTCCTCAAATACAGGAGTAAGCATTTTGGCTCTTTAGGTTCCATTGTTTCAAAGTCAGTGTGTTTGTTTTGATGCCTGAAATGAAGTCTGTGGTTAACACAAGTTTAGGGAGATGTAAACATGGTCTCTAAAAAATAAATAAAAATACAAGTTTACTCCTTTAACGTTAGCTTTTTCCTCCTGGCTATTGCATTTACGCTTCAAAAATCATTAAAGTGGTATTAACATGTGAAGATTATACTGCTTAACGAAACCTTTTAGTATCCAATGGAAACATCCCATTGGCTTTTAATCGAGTGAGCCCTTGCAATGCTTACTCCCGCGTCGGCCTACAAAATACGTCTCCACTAGATCTCTCTATTATAGGAATGGTGTGGATGAGTGATCCTTATTTTTATAGTTAATAAATGTGACTTCAAGCACATCAAATCCTGAAATACCTCAGTAATATTTTAGATAATATAATTTATAAATGTATTTCAGGTGGTTATCTGCGGCGGCTCAGCCAGGATCCCTCGCCTCCAGCAGATGATCCGCGACATGTTTCCTGATGTGGAGATGCTCAACTCAGCGCCTCCTGATGAGGTCATCGCTGTGGGAGCGGCTCTGGAAGCGGGCTTACTAGTCGGCAAAGAAGGCCTCGCCCCCGAGGAAGAGACTGTCACAGTGGACGTTTCTGCCACTGATATTCTAGTGAAGGTACACTGTTCGATGAAAAACACACCATATGTAGGGTATATGAATAGATTTTGTCTATAAACGTAAATCTCTAATTTCTATTTCTGTATCGTACTCTATTTAACTAATCTCCGGCTTGATGTTGCAGGAGGTGGATGAATCCGGAGCGGAGGTGTTCACTGTTCTGCTCCCATCGGGCACTCCCCTCCCCGCCCGCAGACAACACGTCCTGACTGGAGGGGGGGAACTCTCCTCCGTGAGTCTGGAGATTTACCAGAGAAGTCTCAAGGAGCAGCCAGAAAAAATAGCAAAGGTACAAAAACTGCACTAACACTATTGAATGTTTAAGGAGGAGTTTGAATAGTTTGAAGATGGGTTGTATGAGCTACGTATCCAAAGTCAGTGTATTGTCTACAGTACATGGTCGGCACATATACCAGTGCAGAAGTGACGCAAGTGAAGTCTGCAGGAGCTATGATTTTAGATTGTGGTGTTTTGTTGGTGCTAACCTTGCCTATGCATTTAAATTGTTCATTTGAATTTGCGCTATTAGTTTAGTTTGTTGTATATGTCTGAGAAATTGGGTATGGAATGCGAAGAGTGCCACTATTTTAAGTAAAAAAACACATTCTTAAGTCGACAATAGGAGTTTCTTTTGTTTAAAAATGCCTGTTTTTCACTTAAGAACGTGTTGGAATAGTGGCAAATTGTGACACTGTTTCGCATTTCAATTATGTTATGTTCGCATAGCATTGTTCAATCTTGTTTTTCTGTAGCCTAGTAAGCTAGTTGTTGTTCTTTGTTGCGTACATTTTTTTATGAGCAAAACGCTGAATGGAAATAAACAGTTTATCTTCTTGTGTGTACAATGTATAGATCGTCTTGAGGAACCTGCAGCCCAAAGAGGATAAACACGACATCGACACCGTGGTAACCATGAAAAGGTATCCACCCCTCCAGGATCACAGCACAGGTCACATGACGAGATTGTTTGTATAATATCATAATAATATGATTTCTGTTTGTTGCAGGGACGGCTCCGTCCATGTGTCCTGTGTAGAACAGAGCAGCGGGAGACCAGAGGTCGTCACCATAGCAGCCGCATCATGAAGCTGCTCACCAGCACACACTCAGTGCAATGATTAGTTTTGTTTTTCTTACCTAATAAACATAATGAATCCCAAACTATATGCTCAGATTTATTACCTTTTGGATTTCTGTGGAAAAATTCCAGAACGTGCTCTTTTTCAGTTGAACTGTGGTCCCACTATGCTCACAGACACACACATGTCTAACAGAACATCTCACATGAGAATAACTGTTCAATTCTGCTCGTGAACCATTTTTAAAAATGATTATTTAGTTGTTTTAAGTATATCTTCTGTACATTTAGAATTCAAGGTTTCTGCACACATCAAGTGTTCATGAGGGAAGACTCCATGCATTCATTGCACATTTTCATTTTTATATGAATACAATGCTTTCATTACCATATGATTGAAAAAAGGAGTTGTTGGCTTTTGTAGTGAAATAATCGCCTTCTAACAGGCCAATTACTCTTCCAATGTATATATGGCACTTATTACATAACGGAGTGTTCTAAAAAAAGCTAGCTGAACTTAAAGCAGTCAACACAGCATCATAGTTGTATCAGTCATAGTGCCTCAGGTTGAGAAATGCAGAGTATTGTAATTGCAGTGTGACAACATAAATCTCTTTCCCAGTGCCTCTGTGGAACAGACACAAATAAAACATTTTTTTTTAATAGTATTTATATATTTAAGAACAATGCCAGCATAACATTCATTCCATCCTGTCCATACATAACTCAAAATAACATAATACCAGGCATGAAGTGGAGGCCGGGCAGAGTCTTTAGGTCTCAGTTGAATTTCAGTCATAACGGGAGTGAACACGAGTAAACATTCTGCAGATAAAAAACAAGCATTTCCATTCAAACGTGTTGATATTCCCGAAGTTAAACACATTGTTTTCCCAGCCTCCTAGCAACCGTGATCGGGAACTATGCGACACTTGAGGATCTTCAGGTAGTTCTGGACCTTGTTGGAGTCTCGGCGAAAGCAGTAGAGCAGGTCATAGTCTTTCATCAGCCGCCAATCGGCACTGTCCGATGGCAACAAAACCTCGGGAGAAGCCAGGCTGGTGACAGAGTTACTGATTATCCCCAGCACCTGCATCTGGAGAGGGCACATGCACACATCAGCTTTTTATTCACCCTGATTGATTACAAAATAATAGATACACCCGCTATTTATTCATTCCTGTCACCCATTTGGATTACAATTCTAAAATAGTTCTCACAAAATAAACAATACAATGTAATGACAGCAAAGCACACTCATAAAGTATTTTCATTCATTAATTAGTTGGTTGGTTGGTTGGTCGGTCGATTGGTTGGTTGATTGATAGGGTGGTTGATTAATTGATTGATTGAGTTGAAAAAATCAATGTTTATCATTCATTTATATTATACCTTTGGTTGGGAGGGTTACTATAAAAAATGTATTCCATCACAAATACTAATTACCTTGAAAAATTGAGTAAGTAATCAATCAATTCATCACGTCTTCAAAATAACCTAATTACCTTTCATTACTTTTTGATGACTTCAATATCAAATATTCAAATAAATACAAGAGAAAATAAAGATCAATACAGCAAAGCATACTCATACAGTTTACCCCTGGGAGTAATACAATATTTTTGATTGGTTGGTTGGTTAGTTGGTTGGTTGGTTGATCGGTTGGTTGGTTGGTTGATCGGTTGGTTGGTTGGTTAGTTGTTGATTGATTGCAAAAAAATCAATGCTACTCATTGAGTTTATACAAATGTATTCCGTCACAAATACTAATTACCTGTTAGAAAATGGAGTCACTAACCTAATCTATTCATCACGTCTTTCAGGTAACATAATTCCTTTTTGATTACTTCAATATCAAATATTCAAATAAATACAAGAGAAAAGAAATATCAATAATGACTACGTCTTTCTGCAACTGTAAGGAAATACAGTTACCTTTCATTGTATTCATATTCCTGTTACATGTATTCCGTTACTTCCCGAGAATGATTATTATATTGTGATCTGAAGACATACTTTCTATGTTATCGGTTGGTTATTCTGGCCTATACAAAGAGAGATGTGGCAGGCAGTGTGCCCAACGTTTGGTCTCTTCCTTCCTTGCTTGAGGCTGAATGTTTAGTCTGAACAAAAGGTCACCCAGGGTGAACTGTACAGTTTGGATTTGCCGCATGACATCATGAATCACAACCTGAGACCCAGACCGCTCAAAGCATCAACCACACAAATTATGGCATTTTGAGCACCATTTAATTAAACTTTTGGCATCTACACTTTAACTGCTAATGTAAACAACCTCCCATATCTTCTCCCTTTTACAAGACATACAGTACCTTCTCGGCCACTTTCTCTACACCTTGGCGTAGCTCGTGCACCATGTCATTCATCTCGAGAGCTTTGTTGGAGCTGAAGTTGTTGAAGTCGTGGTGGTGAGCCATGCTCTGATGGAAATGCCACAAAGGATCCCTCCATGCAATCAGGAGCTTCAGAATCACCTCCGTCAGCTGCTCTCTCTGCAGGGACAACAGGACAGGTAGAGGCATCAGTGAATATTTTAAGTCATGACAGTTAGAATTAAGTGTGTATTGGTAGCAATACTTTTTGGTTAACTGGGGAAAAACCCTGTGTTCTATAAGAGACTAAATCAAGAGAAAGGAAAACTGCAAACATGATGTGGACAGCACATGCCGACTACAGGAAATAGCTTTTATAAAGGTTACTTTACCGCCATTCTCTGAGCGTTCTCCTTGCCATTTGGCGTGATGATGGTAGAGGTGTGACAGATGCGACCCACCCTGCCAATTTGATTCTTACTGGGCAGGAAGTACTGCTCCTGACAGGACGAACATGAATGCAAGTGCAAAATGTCAGAGGTCATCTTAATGTCAAATGTGGCTACAGAAAAATATAAAAATAGATTAATGGAATAGTAGAATGGCTTGCAATTGATGATAATCACAAATGGCTATTGGAAATGAATGTGTGTGTAGACTCAGTTGCCAGTTCATGATTACTTATTTTGTCCATCCTATTTATATTAATCAGGGTAGGGTGAATAATACAATCTCTTTCAGAATACAACAACATTATTTAACTGAACACAGTTCATAATGAGGATTATTATATTGGACTACATTAGGTTTACCCAATAAGCCATCTACTTATTTTATATAGTGTCCTATTGAGACTTAAGTATCCTGTTACAACATCGTATCACTTAAACGTTTAAAACACAATTTGATAAGCTTTGTCAGACAATGAGGAGCACGCATGAGGAGACTTACAAACTCGGAGTGAAGGTCACTTGAAATGCCGTGCATCCTGGCTGAGTGTTGGATGACCCGGTCAAACAGGTTATCCAGAGAGAGGACGTGGCATCCAACCTGGCCATTGGTACAGATGGGTGCTGCACCCACGCTGGTCCGTCTGCTGGACAGACACACCAACAAAACCACCCACACAAGAGACACTGTAGGAGAAAGACCAAGGGAAGAAAAAAGACACAATATAAAACCATGAAGACTGAAAAAAAGTCATGTCATTTCCTTTGAAAGAAAGTGTGTATGTTTGTATGAGATGTGCTAAGGAGTGTGTTTTTCAAGGATGAAAACTCTAAAAGAGAATGAGTTAAAGAGATATAATCATAATGGAGTAGTACAAATGGAAATGTGAAAAGGAAAAGTATATGATGACGACATGCAAAGAGAGACAGATAATAATCTTTATTCTAAATAACTACCTGATCTGATGGTTCCAGGCATCCTGAAGGACGTCCTGTCTCAGAGGTGATGGCGGAGAAGCTTTTCTTCATATGAGGGTCCCTCACTGACCATTTCCCTTTTTCACTTTCATATCAAAGAGAAAAAGAGAGGGGGGGGGGGTGTCTTGTCATCCTGTATGTGTGTGTGTTTCTGTGTGTGTCTATCATGATAGAGTAACCTCAGGCAGTCTTGAAGAACGATCGCATCATCAACCTAGGACGTCATTCCAACATCCACACTGGATTTCCTGTCCTACCTATTATTAATATCTGTATGTCACCCAGCTAGAGAAAATGAGTAAACCAATGTCATGTCGAAAATATGATAAATTACTTCAGAATTGTATGTTAAACAGGACTCAGATTTGTAATCACTTGGATTTCCTTTTATTGATCAGACAGTTATTATTATTTTTAGTGTGAGGGAATAATTTGCCCTGCATGTCCTCTTTCGTCCCTCTGATGATGATGCTCAGCCTTGGGCAGCATGCTATCTCCCTTAAGTAGGGGCTGCCCTAGCATTTCCACTGAGCCACAGCCTCACTATCTATTGAAGAATGTAGATTATTACACTCTGAACTAGTTAAAACGTCGAACTACAGAAGGGTTCTTCAGAATTGATTGTGGCATCTCAACCGTGTGGTCGGCCCTGTGACATGTCTTGTGAATTCTCCGGCCGAAGCTCCAAATAAACCGTCAGTGTTTGCCATCAAAGCTCCAGCTCTCCTCGCGTCTCTCTGAGTCCTGTCTCCAATTGCTTCAGAAGTTTCCCCCACATTTAGTATAAATTGTTTTCCAAAGCTGTAGATTATTTGTTTGATACTTTTTCAAAATAGGAGTTCATACTGTCATCTCATCTGTCCTTACTGTAATAAAAAGACATTGTGAAGTAGAGAAGTGTGTTGTCTTGCGTACAGCCACTATTTACTTTGTCAAGGATTACATCTTCATAGTCACAATGTTAAATGGATCAGTTTGGCTTTTTACCCGGAAAATTACCTTTCTAAAACCACAGGACACTTACTGATCTGTTTTCTTGCATTTTTGGTTTTGTGCTATATTTCATAAAACCCTCTCCTTGCTGTGTCTTTTTTCACTTCAGAGCTTTGTGTTTTCCCGCCTTTTTGTGATAGTTTGCTCCTCGCTGGTTTTCCTTCTTTGTGTTCCCTGTGGATTTGCTGTCCTTGTTCTTGGTGTCATCCTGGCAAACAATCACAAAATAAAAGAGGGAACAGAAAATAAAACAAAACAAAATTGTGACACTTAGAATGACCAAATCTCTACTTAATCCAATCCAATCCATTTTATTTGAACAAAGTGCTGTAC